ATGGCATGAATGAGCCTTTTCTTAAATGGTAATGGCATAGATGAGCCAAACTTTTAATGAATGACATAAATGATCTTTTTCTAAAAGTTCAATGACATATTTGAGCAATAGAGGCAGGTCGTGCTGCCTGTTGTATAAAATTGTTTTCTATTTCAAAAATAAAAATAATATCCATAAAAATCGTTGATATGAAAGAGTCCCAAACAAGAAAATTAAAAAAATGAAAAAATCAACGATGGGCTGGGCCCTCCTAAATGGGCATGAATATTATCCATTTCCATATCTCGTGATCAAACCCAGACACGTCAGCTAGGATGTATATCAGAAATGAAATTTGACTACAAATTTGGGGACCATTCTTGCAAATCATGCAGACGTCACGTGTCAACCATCATCTCTTTCGGATAATGCATTTCTTCTTCATCATCATCAGTCCCTATATCCACTTCAGTAAAGTAACTGTGATTCTCCTTCAAACTTCACATCTTTATCAACAACGCACAAAATTCATCAACCCACTTCAGGTTTTACTTCTTAGATCGATTCATTGACTCAGAAATCTCCAGCTACTGCTTCTGCAATATACAACAATGGCGACTCTTTCCCTTTCCCCTTCCGTGGGAACAATTTTTCACTCTCTCCATAGCTACCCAACTGGTCCCTCATCCTACTCTTCTTCTTGTCCCACTACTGCTTCTCCAGCTTTTTCACTGACATTGTCATCTAGCAATTCAGGATTTTTAAATTCAGCTTTCAAGAAGAATGAGATTAATGTTCCAGTGAGGAATAGGGTGAAAAATTCCTTTGGGGTTCGGATGTCTTGGGACGGTCCTCTATCTTCCGTTAAACTCATTCTTCAAGGGAAAAACCTTGAGGTTACACTCCTTAGTCCTTACCATATTATTATTTCCCTGCATTTTTTGTTTTATATGCTAAAGTGTACTTCATAGGAACTTTGGGTTATCTGAAAAATAGTTAATTGATTTTCAATCTATTCCTCTATCAAATGGTTACTCAACTGCTATTAGGGTAGTTTCCAGCCAAGGTTTATCGGAAACAACCTGTCTATCCTGCAAAAGTAGGAGTAAGGTCTGCCTACATAATAGTACCTTTTAGCTTTTTAGTATCTGATGTCTCTATATCAATCTAATTTTGATAGGATCTACCATTTCTTGGAATCCATGTAGCCTCAGTGAAAAATAGGGCACAATGAAAGAAAAAATTATAAAGGTGATAGCAATTAGTTGAATTTATAGTTTAGTCATGTTCTATGTTTCTAGTAGTCCTCTAATTTGTCAGAGAAGAAAATATAGAGAGCTTCTAGTACCTTTATTACTCTTTTCTGTTTTTGTTTTGCTTAATGTTAGTTTGAGATGAACTTAAATGGAGGGACATGGCCAAAGAGGATTTATAAAGCCGAACAAACTTGCTTGTGATTGAGGCATAGTTGTTGTAAAACATATGATGTATAAATTGAGATAAAAAACAATTTAGCTTGTCGGACTCTCGTATTTGGAACCATTAGGAAGTACAATAGTTAGTTCACAATGAAACAACAAGTCTTAGCAGATTGATTGCTCAAATGGATTATTTTTCTGCCTTAAACGTGTTCATGGATGTGAAGAGTGGTGACTTATTGTTGTGGTGCAACTACAGTTAACACCTGCTGTGAAGGACTATGTGGAAGAGAAGTTGGGTAAGGCAGTTCAAAAGCACAGCCATCTAGCCAGGGAAGTGGATGTTAGGCTGTCTGTTCGAGGTGGAGAGCTTGGAAAAGGCCCAAAAATTCGAAGATGTGAAGTGTGCACCAAAAACTTGCAAATTCATTATTTTAGGTTTTTGTTATTGTTCTTATTATTCAAAATTACTTGACTGGCATTCCTGAACTATAGGTTACTTTATTTACGAAAAAGCATGGAGTGATTCGTGCAGAGGAAGATGCAGAGTCAATTTATGGAAGTATAGATATGGTATCATCAATTATACAGAGAAAGTTGCGGAAAATTAAGGAGAAGGATTCAGACCATGGTCGCCACATGAAGGGCTTCGATAGGCTGAAAGTCAGGGACCCAGAGGTGCTGTTAGTTCAAGAGGATCTTGAAACACTTCCCCAAGAGGAAGAAGTTGAAGATGATGACAAGAGCGACGGCTTTGTTACTGAGGTTGTCTCTGAACTTATATGTTTTGCCAAATATTCTTCTTGCACTCAATTTATTGGTTACTCCAAGTTTGACATGGCCTTTTAGCTTAGACTTGACTGAATTCTTAGCAACAGCGAGGATACATGTTTTTCACTGTGACTAAAGGGCCTTACTGATGCTGGCAATTGATATCTTGCCCAATTAATATTTTTTAACTGAGTAGAATATCTGAATGAGTTTTGCTAATGTGTATTCCATTTTTGACGTTGGATGCCATACTCTTGTCCTATTATTCTTCCATGATATGTTTAGAGTATTATAGAAGAGAGGTAGTAAGAGACCAGGAAAAATACATCTGATTGTACGATGATATATAAGATGGTTATCATTTTTTTGTTTGATGTTTAACGGTGGATCGGAGTAGAATTAGAATTGACGGGTGGAATAGCATTTGGGTATCACAATCTAGGATGTTGATAAAAACTTCATTTCCTGTGTCAGTTTTAAAATTTTATTCCAGTCCTTGAATTAGTAAGGATCTTGAACGGAGAAAACTGGTAGGTGTTGTGGAGATATGGTATGTTTCGCTTTAAAGGGAAAAACTTCTAAATTTTACGTTAAAATGGTTCACCTAGAAAGCATTTGAAATACCATTTAGGAACTAAGATTTGGTGACCTTTATAGCAGTATGAACAGGGTTGACATATGCCTTAAAACATCCTGATTTCTGATCTTAAGTTATGTGATAGCAGATGCCCCTGCACATTTTCTCCTGGGGACTCCCCATTTCATTTGTTGCATTTACCGAACACTGAGGCATGTACATTAGGCTCATCTTTCCAGTTACAGTGTTTATTTAAATTACAGGTGTAATATCCATTCCAGATACAATAAGGTTGTCCTTTATCTATAAGTGTTTTTTTTGTGTATGGAACACCTTTGTCCTTTCTGTTTCTACCATTCCAAATCCTCTCACGACCTATCAAATGCCTGTGTCTTTATTCAGCCCAAACCGAGTAGCCTATGCTGTAGCCAGATATTCATAATCTCTACTTGATATAGATGCCTCGGTGACTTCTGCACTCACAGCATGCTTTGTCTACCCAAGCATTGAAACGTGCTTCTTCTCTTTTAAGTGAACAAATTCTTGGCTGATGAGTGGGTGTAGCACTGTAGATCACGTTGGACTCTTCCTTTTTATGCTTTAACTGCCTGTTCTAGAATACTGAATGATGCACCAAGTCATTAACAGACATCACCCTCGAAATCCTAGCTTGAGATGTAATGATCTGATCGTCAAGATTTACTACATTCGCTTAAATGAGTATAAACAACCATTTTAATGGTTAATAATGTTTTAGATATAGATTTATTGGGTATTTTGCCTAATGTTTCTAGAATTCTATTCTCAAACTCACTTCCGTTCATATTTTATTTCAGGTTGTTCGTAAGAAGTCCTTTGACATGCCACCTTTAAGTGTCAATGAAGCAATTGAACAGCTGGAAAATGTCGACCATGACTTCTACGGTTTCCGGAATGAGGAAACTGGTACTGATAAATATCTTTAAAACTTCATTAACAATTTTCTGAATGCTTCAATGGTATTTGGGTTTATGATTTTATGCCTTGCTGCAGGTGAGATTAACATTGTTTACAGACGAAAAGAAGGGGGTTATGGACTTATTATTCCAAAGGAAGATGGTAAAACAGAGAAGTTAGAGCCCTTGGAGGTTGAACCAGAGAAAGAACCGTCGATAGCAGAATAAATCGATTTGGTAAAAGAGTTCTTAGTTAGTCACTGAGTACATTTGCTTAGCATTATGTTCACTCCTTGAGAGTCAGAAAAAACAGTATTATGAATTGAGAACATATTGCCAAAAAAGCTTCTGTATGAAAGTAGATGTTTCTACTGTTGTGTAAAATTTGTAATTATAACTTGAAAAAAGGAATAATGCAACTGAATTTTACATTCTAGTGTGCGCTTTCTTGGATCTTTGCTCATTGTGCTTCTGGTGTAAGGGAGCCAAAACATTTGTATGTTTGCAGCTTATGAAGGTGAAATGTACATCTACATATCATCTATTACGTAGAAACTACGTAATTCACTCCTATTATTGTGTGTGTATATATGATGAAGGTAGTCATAATTTCGGGTTAAATGACATCAACTTTTCTTCGAAGAAAAAAAAAGGAGGATTGCGCGATATCCCCTCCTCGTTTTCAATTTAATGTCAAAATTTCTTCAAATTTGAATGATAATACTAACTGAAAGTTTTTCATTTCCCTCTCCTCCTCTCTATTGTTGTAGTAATATATCAACTACTGCACATTTCAGATTACAATCCTTTATCTAATAACAAACCTGGAAAAAAAAAAGGGTCTAGTAACATCCTTATGGATATTACATAGTACATCACATTTGAGAATCATTAATTACATATTTAATGGGATTCATGGAATTATTAACGACAGAATATTGACTGGATAATCTCATCTATGAGGACTTATACATACGTTTCATTATCGTAATTAATCACCATAGTCAACAAAAGAAAACTCTTAATAAATATAAAACGTGTCAAATGCACCCAACACATAAAACGTTACTTGCATATAGTTCAAAATGCCTTTTTTTTAAAGACCATTCATTCATATTAATAGTTGATAGTTATGCCTACTACCGTTAAAAAAAAAAAATTACTTTTGGACATTATGTTAAAATTATAAATGTGATGCATGTCTTTCATGAGATGCAAGAATTCATATTTAAACGGTACAAAGAATTAAGCAAGCAAAGTCTCTTATATAAACTTGAAGATAAAGGAGTTACTTACAAAGTCCAAAAAACCAACTACACAATGGAGAAATTAGCAACATTGTTAGCATTACTATTATACTTTGGATTAGTTTTTGGAGAAATTAGTAACAAGTGTGTGTTTCCAGCAATATATAATTTTGGTGACTCGAATTCGGATACCGGTGGAAAATCAGCAGCATTCCGTCAAGTGCCTCCACCCAATGGTCTGACTTTCTTCGGCAGTCCCATGGGCAGAGTGTGCGATGGTCGTCTCATCATAGACCTCATAGGTAAAACTTATTCGTGTTTGATCAGGAGATCACGAGTTCAAGTTGTGATTGTGTTTTTTTTTTGTTTTTTCGTGGTGTTGCAGCGGACAGGTTGGAGTTACAGTACTTGAGTCCGTATTTAGATTCAGTAATGGCAAATTTTAGAAATGGTGCAAACTTTGCAACAGCAGGTTCATCTATACTTCCTGGTGGTTATAGTCCTTTTAGCCTTGAGGTTCAGATTTCTCAGTTTTTACAATTCAAAAAACGGACTATTTTGCTCTCTGATTTATCAAGTGAGTTAACTTCTCCTTGCCTTAATTTTCTACTAATATTTACATTGTATGAGTGTTTATGTTATTGACATTATTGATGCAGTTCCAAATAACTCAAAATGGTCTTCAAAAGTCAACATTGCAAATCCACAAGATTTTTCAAAGGCACTGTACACATTTGACATTGGACAGAATGACCTTTCTTATGGTTTTCAACATACCCATGAAGCACAAGTCAGAGCATCCATTCCACTAATCATAGGCAATTTTACTCAAGCTATTCATGTATGTTCTTTCTTTTTTCTTAGAGCTCATACACAGTTTTCACGAAGGGTGTTCAATTCATTATATGTGGTTTTGGTACTGATACTATCTGCTTTGAGCCTACAGTCCACTACATCCTTAATACGCGTTACTAAGGCATAAGGCTTGCTTTCTTATATACCTAACATCTCTTGTGTTTTGTCCATGTGGGATTTGGCTTAGATGCTACTCATTTGGGAGAACAAACATTATCTTTTGATTATTGGATCTCTTCTTTTTCTTACTTATGTTTGTGTATATACATGATTTATGCAGCAACTATACTATGAAGGGGCTGTGAATTTCTGGATCCACAATACTGGTCCCATTGGCTGTTTGCCCTACAGTGTGATAGATTATCCATTGAAGCCTCAGGGCTTGGATGGCATTGGGTGCATAGAGAACCAAAACAAGGTGGCTCGTGAGTTCAACGAGCAACTCAAGGACAGGATATTACACTTACGAGCAGAGCTTCCTCGTGCTGCATTTACTTATGTTGACATTTATTCAGCTAAGTATCAACTAATTAGCTCTGCCAAGGAACAAGGTAATTTCTATTGCTTTGTTAATAAACTCTACTACTCTTTGATGAATGAACCAAACTGTTACCTATGCTAATTTCCTCCTAGAAGTTGCAGTTATAGGGCCCGCAGCACAAAGCATTCTGGTTCATTTAGAGCCTGGGAAAGGGCACCTACCCTAAGGGGTGTAATGTAGGCAATCTACCTTGATGCTTGCATCAGATTCCACTGGTCGAACTTGTGACTTATAGACAGTAAAAATTCTGTTTACACAATCAATGTGTTTTAACCTACAATACCAGTTAGTAACTATTTTCATCAGGTTAACAATTATGAATGTATATCATAGAGATTTACCTTATGCTACCTTATCAGTGAGCTGATTATATAATATCTTTTGCACTATCAGCACATAGAACTTAAACTAATATGGCCAATTATGCTTTGTTTTTGATGGGCAAGCAGGGTTTGGAGACCCATTGAAATTTTGCTGTGGATGGTACAACAATGGTTCTGAAGTTGCATGTGGACAGACAGCTATAGTGAATGGCACAGAGCATGGGAAGGCATGTAGTGATCCCACAAAGTACATTAGCTGGGATGGGATACATTACACAGATGCTGCAAATGTCTGGTTAGCCAAATCAATTCTCAATGGCTCTTTCTCAGACCCTCCAGTTCCTATTGAACAATCTTGCAGTCACTCATCCACCAGAGTTTAACAAGATGTGCTTTGGACAGGCCACGATTATCCTGCAATTTCCAAGATTATTACTGTCATTTATATAGAGCTTTATTTGTCTACCACTGAGATACCAATAAGAACTTTATCAATCTTATCTTTAATGTATGGTCGTTTTAATATGTCATCTGCTACTCCATGTGTCAGTTGTCATATGGTTTGTTACAAGAAAAATGAGTACATGGGACATGATCTGAAGCTAATCGCTTACTGGTACTGCAACAATTATTACACTTCAATCTCGAGCAAATTAATAAGTCACACGCCTAATTGCTACCTCCAACTAGCACAAGTATCAGGCAACTCTGTCCACACAAGCTTGGACAGCTCACTCGGTCATTTCTAGCAAGATTGTGAAAGAAACTTGAAAACCTTGAAGTTCCAACAAGTCCACAGCTTTCTACTTCAACTGATAACACTGAGATGCATAATGTCATAATCAAACTATAAGGTTAATTTCAGTAACAAGTTCATTGTTACTCGTTCAAGGTAAGGAGAAAGGACATGTTCCCTTTTCTCCAGAACTCACATCAGTATATACTCACGACTTTGAGCTATTCATAATTTATGAGAAAAAGTTTCCAGGTAAAGAAAAAAGGAAATCTTGAACTTCATGTAACTCCCTGTCTGCACAATATATATACTAAACTACGCTACCTCGACCAATTTTAGAATCTATACACATCCTAAAACTTTCAGCTCTTTTAACCACTTGGCGGTTGAAGGACTATTGGAGCATGCTTCAAATATGAAAGGTGAGTTGCTAGTAGTATGCATTATGCAATAGAACTCATTTTCTTGTTTTGGTTTCTATTGTAGGTGACACTTGTGAGCCACCACCACTGCCACCACCAAGAGCTGCTGCAGCAGACTCCACATGAGTGAGAAGATATTCATAGATCTTTTTTCTTATCCTATCGATGGTCTCAGAAGCAATTTTGGGACTTTCATCATCCTTGCTAGAGGAAATCTCATCTAACCAGTCGTTCACACTCTTCAGCTGGGATAACATGCCGGCTATTTGACCATTATCTGATAAAGCTGAGGCATCCACATCAGCATCCAAGAACCTTTCTACAAATCCTAAGAACCAATCTTGGGACGCTACTCGTAACATCTCGGCTAAGTCAACAGCCTCTTCAAGACCGTCTCCTCTGACCCAATCCGCTGGAGGAGGAGATTTTGACTTCTGATTAGCAGCTACCCCATCTGTTAAGCGCCGTTGAGATCCTGATGACTGAATCTTAGAACTCATTGTCGGGCGAGGTTTGGCTTGAGGTTTTGCAAGTGAATTTTTGGTTGAGTTGTCAAGGACTAGCATAGGTTGATTGAGAGAAATAGTCTTTGGGCTTGGCGAGGGAGCTGAAAGGGCAATTGGAGTTGAAGTTGCTTTTTTGCTATACACTGAGAACGATGACAGATTGGTAGCCAACGCAGCATTGACCCATAGAGTTGCTTGCTTCCGTTTTTCTGATACAGCCTTAAGTGCTTCTTCAGAAGGGTTTTCTTCATGATCTGATTCTGAACCAGCAGCTGATATGGTCTTGGATAAAGCATCACCAACAAGGTGAACATTCTTCAAACTCGCATGCAGCGCCAAGAATTGCTCAACAGCAGGCTGTGCGTTATCTTCCTTTGCCGAGGAGCTCAACTCAGAATATGTGCTGAACAATTGAAATTAAACAATCAGCAGTTGTTAGTTTGTGTAATAAAAGAATAACTTCAGTTGATGCTCGGATGAAGAAACAAATTGTAGAGTACCACTGTTTGAAAGTTCATAATAAACCCTAAACCGAACCATGGTCTGGAGATTCTGAAAGAGGTATATCCAAGTTTATTTTTACCAGCCAACAATAGAAACACCAATGTGGCACAATACTGGCAAGATAACTCATGGACAGGGCAGTTCAAAAGGGATATCCAGGATTGGGAGTTAAATGACCTGCAGGGATTGCTTACAAAAATATCAGATTTTATGGTCAACTCTCAGGTGCAGGACAGATTAGAAACGGGGAGGATCCAAAGATAGAACCTACATTATCAAAAGAGGATATGGCAAATCTATGCTCCAACAAGGAACTGATTGAATAATGGCCATGTAAGCTTATAGGAAAACAGAACTCCCCATATAAGTAATTGGTTTCATCTAGACAACATTGTGTGATGGCTGCCTTACTCAAGACAACCTTTAACAGAAGAAGCATTAAGAAAGTGAATAGATGTTATATGTGCCAGGAGGAATCTGAGAGAGTGAGACAGCTGCTTCTTCACTGTACAGCAGCAGCTGACATTTGGAGTATATTTTTATCAGTCTTTGGACTTCGCTGGGTCATGCCTTATAGTATTAGGGGATGCTAATGGAAATCCATCAAAAGAATTGGCAAATGATGTCTGCTGCTATTTTTTGGTGCATCTGGAATGGGAGGAATCGTAGATGCTTAGATGGGATTTCAACTCCTAATCACACTCTTAAAGCTAAATGTCTGATCAATTTATTTAGTTAGTTCAATCAGGCCCCTGTAACTAGTATTGAATTTTCTTTTGGATAGTGTATGCTCCTTAGTTGTTCAGTAAAATTTTGTATATAAGCAGATACTCTTCTGTTGTATATTTTTGCTATGCATCTTCTTGATGCCATTTAATGATATTCTCTTCATAAAAAGAACTAAGAAAAAAAGAAGAAAGAACCATGGTCCACTATTTGCATAGGATAGCAAAGTTATCCTTATTAAATATTAACCCAACACAAATTGATTTAACTTGCTAATCAGTCTACCATGAATAATTAGAAATATAACTAGAATATTCTACAGAACTATTCCTTTCTTTTTTTCTTGATGAAGTAAATGAATTTCATCCAAAAGCATCAAGAAGATGCAGAGCAACTTGCACCCAAGGGTGTGGCCTAGTGGTCAATGAGGTGGTTGATAACCATGAAGTCTCAAGTTCAAATCCCAACAAAGACAAAAAACACTAGATGATTTCATGTCATATGTCTTAGCCTTGATAGACTCAGTTAATGATACCTATTGTTGGAGGTGGCAAGCTATGTTGCTCAGACTCTTCAAAATCGGCAATGGGTGTGTGTCGGATTCTCCATTTGTAGTGTATTTTTGAAGAATCCGACACGGGTGTGGCATTGAAATTGAAGAGTCCGCGCAACTTAGGTGGCAAGTAGTCCATGGAATTAATCGAGGAGCACAAAGCAGACCTGGACACCACTGTTATTAAAAAAAAAAAAGATGCAGAGCAACCAGAACAATTCCTTCCTCCAGCATGATTCCCCACATCCAGCTGAAACTTATCCCTTTCTGGCACTTCTGCTGGAAAGCCAACATTATTGGCTGGAAGGGCCCAATGGTTGCTAGAAGGGAATATCTCTTCCTTTTTGGTAAAGAGTTACTGTAGTAGCATTAAAAAGGTATTGTAATTTATAGGTGGAAACTGGGGCCGGCTGGATTGCATTCTTCCCTCCTTTCTTTTACCTTTTTCAGTAATTCCGATTGGAAAAAATCTTCTCAACATTGTTATCACAAAAGGTTCAAGATGACTCAGTCAAGAAGCCCTCAACAATGTGGATTCCTTATAATTTTAGAAAACAGACATTACTCTAATGACAAAAAACATTCAAAGTGCATGAAAATCAAATCATATTTATCTCATATCGTTTTTCTTTAAAATCTATTCATGTCAGAATTCAAGCACCCTGATTGAGAAAATGCAATTGCTAGCATGAATAAGAAATTTATAGGTATTGACTCCAGCTTTTACTAACATGTAAACTGGAAATTGAAGCCACAAAGATCAAACCAGAAATAATTACTGAAAATTACACGGCGAAAGATCTGTGGGTGGCCACTTTTCTCATTCAATAAGAACAAACTTTGGTATCCATACAAGTTAGTAAACGATTTGGCTTCATTATATGAGAGTATAAATCTAGTGAGACACATTTCAACGGGCTGTCATAAGAATGAAGATAACATGCTAAACTTATCCAACTTATTTGAAGGGAAAATAAAATTCTATTTGAACCGACTCTGAAATACATAGGCAAGGTTAGAAAAGTTTATCTCCCAGGAAGTCATCCTTAACACTTTTGATGGAAGAATTAACTGATCAACAACAACATACCCAATGCAATCCCACAAGTGGGGTCCTCTGTGGAGTAGAGAGGTTATTTCCGATAACCCTCGGCTCAAAAGAAAATAAGAATTCAAGCACAAATCCAAGAAAATAAGAGCGAAAAAAATACCATTATACAAAGCAAATGAACAGATAGTAATAAACACCAAAGAACAAAGAAACTAAGTAATTCCTAAATATCAGATATATATGATACTTATTGTAAATGGGAAGCTCCTAATTCCGAAGTTGAATTACCAAAATGTCCATCAAAAGTGAAGGACAATTTTACCCCTCAATCAAATAATATCATTCCTACACTAATTGTGCACAAAATGTAAATATACATTTTAATGATCTTATTAAGCTATTGAACATCTGTTTATGTACACAATGCATATGGATATGGTAATTAAAGTCAGAGCATTGATTCTTGCCATCTTGAATGATATATTAATTACTCATTTATCAAGATACTAAACATCTTTTCATATAAACAACATACTATCCTTCTTTGAGTACAAGTTGGATTTTATTGTAATTTTAAATCCATTTATTCTTCTTCGAATATTTGTCAAATTTAAACAAACCATCCTACTTTTGAATACTCTGGTTGAAGATATATATATATATATATATATATATATATGAGACAAGGAAACCCCGCAGCCGCTATGCTTTGGGTGCGCATAGGATAAAACCTCTCTTGTGCAAACCACACAAGAGAGGTAACCCGCACTAGCCCGGAGCGACGAGCTCGACCCAAAAGGCAAACCCCTTGCTTTCATTGGCAAGGGGTTTCAAACTTGAGACCTCCAACATGGAAGTCCCATGCCCAAACCACTGGGCCAGAAGCATGGTTTTGCACAGTGGCGGAGCCAGGATTTTCAGTAAGGGGGTTCAAAATTTAAAAAGTTAGACACACGAAGT